ATAGAATAATTAGTTTTGTAACTTGCATTTGAAAATATAGTGTATTTTTGAGCTGCTGATTAAATCCTGTTCATTTTTAATAGGTATGTTGCAGAAATTTCATCATCAATTATCTCCTGGAATAATTAAATTTAATTTGTGAGGAAATATGGTGTTAATTTATTACTGTAGTTTGTAGAATATTGCAGAATAATTGACGAGTGATCGAAATTTAAATCTAAACTTTATTTGATATCTAAACAATTATCGTTAACGCCTTTAGTTATGAAAAAATCTATTAGATCAGGAATTTGGTTAAGATCTGTTGGCCATAAGTAGGCTCGCCTGTTGATATTGGCTTAACAATTTTTTTTCAATTAGATTTGTACAGTTCTTGACCCCTAGGGGTATCAGACTAGAACCCCAGAATGTGTGCTATGCATTATTGTCTACTAAGGAAAATTTCTTTTCGAAAACTACCAAACGCGAGTCCGTAGACTTTTATCGAATGGTTTTAAAAATTTTGCAAACGGTTCTGCTATTTTTGAGAAAAGGTCGAAAAAGGTAACGTTTTTTGCAAAACCGAACTCTTTTTCAGGAAGTTAATAATCACCAGAGTATCACCAAAGAATGAAATCACTTTTATCACCTATCACTAACCTATCAAATCATTACTTATCTAAAACAGATCAAATCAGTATTTTCAATCTAGATATTACGATCGTATTGAAATCATATCTGAAGATTTGATATAAGGAATTTATAAATATGCATAAAACATTTTCAATTGCACCATCATGTGTATTGAATGCCACCTAGGCCACACCACAAATGTACTTTATCTGTAAAAGATGGATTCAATTAATAAAAATATTATGCAAAAATAATACATTAGATATAACAAATATGTAATCATTTATTTATTGCTTATATCGATAGATAATTTTTAAAACTCTATGATATGTTATACAATAAAATTGCCATTGTATTTGGTCCTAAAATATAAATATAATTTTCAAAATAAATTTATAAAAAATTAACAATGATATATTTAAAATAAATATAAAAGTATATTACCCTTTCGTTAATATAGTTCGACAGTGTTTTGCAGAAAACTGCTGTACGAGCCAGCACGCCATCCAAGTATTTGTTGCACAAAAAATATTTAAAATCTTTTAACCATCATTAAAATGTATTTAGAAGTTAATAATTACGCTTCTAAAGAACTAAAGAGTAAATTCTTAATAGTGGTAATTCGGCACACTGGATGTCATCATGCACCTAACGAAAGCGTTAATAAGACAGTTGTATGCATACAAATTATCGATTAAAACAGGATTCTTGGGCATTTTTTAATTTAGTACTTATAACCGTAAATGGCAACTTAATAGTACTAAGAACAGATCTATATAAAAACAAAATGTAATGACATTTCTATAGTTCTGTAATCAATAAATTTTAATATACTTTTATACAGATGGAAATCGTCTTTTATAAATTTACCTATTTCCATAGCATCATAAAATTCCAAACTCTATAGCCATATAACTTTGCAAAGTAGTAAGTATGTATATAAATAAAATCTGAGCCATTTACTAATTATGAATCATTGATTTTGTAATTCAAAATGTAAACGTTTATTTATGAGCCTTATTATTGTTACATACCGAAATATTTTCATTTGATTAAATATTATAATCTGAATTCTGTTCATATTTTTTTAGTTTTCCATACTTGGCAAGTCCTAGGTTGACCTTACCTTACCTTACCGTGAAAAAACGACGAAACATAATAGAGATAATGTAATAGCAAATATATAAAATTTATAGAATAATCATTAAAATTTAATACAGTATGGTAAAATTAATCTTAAAAAATTAATGATGCACAATTATGTAAAAAATGAAATACGGAATAAATAAATAGAAGACTTGCTTAACAATAATATTTGTGAAAAAGAAGTTATGTATTTAATTTAAGAAAAATCAAATATAACCAAGAATCATTAATCAGTGATGTGTAAAACCAACTGATGAATTGACCTTTTAAAAAAATTTTTTATAGTAAACACAATAAACTGTTCTATAGCTAAACAAAGTATTTTTGTAGTATTTTTCACTGAGGAAGAGTCAAACTAGAACTCTTTTTTCAGAAAGAGAATTTAGATTTTCTTTCTAATATCTAATACATGTAGAGATAGACAACTCACTCCGGAGTTATCACTACGATACAACACCTCCCTCGGAGTGAATTTGTTATATCCGACTTTTTTAAACTGGTATTTGTGCATTTACTTTGCTTTGGGAAGGAAGCGATCGCTTTTTTGTCTCACAGGCAATTTTATGACCTTTCAGGTATACGAGTCAAAATAATGCCATTGTGTATTTTCCAGAAAATACAAAGTTATTACTTCAAGGATGCACAACAATGAAATTATATTAAAGTGTGCATAGCTGAAATGTATAATTTATCGAATAGTAAGGGGTCATATTTTATGACGGCAATCAGGAATATACAATACTGAAAAATACACGAAACGAAATACATTTAATCTGGTTTTTCCATAGCCTGAAATAACAATACTTTAGTGTGCAAAATTTATCAGTGATATCAATAGTATTTAAGCAGCAAAAATATTTAGCATTACATTGTTGCTTTTACACAATTATATAATTATGTAAAAGTAATAATATGCTAATCGAACTACCCGATATAATATTTATTCTCGAATAGAAATGGCAGAAGATACATGAACAACGCACTATTAAACACATTTGTGTCGAGTATTTCGGTTTCAAAGTTGTCGGAGCCGCGGAGTTGTTAAGCGCATAAATAAATCAATAAATAAATATATACAATATATAATATATATATATATATATATATATTAGACATGAGCTTATTATATCCGAAGCCGAAGCGGTTAGGATTTGACTCCACTTCAGAGAGAAGTCATATTCACTTAACTCCACAACTCCGACAACTTTGAAACATAATACTTGACACAAATGTGTTCTCTAGTGTGTTGTTAATATATATAAGAATTTATTAAGACTTTAGAAATAGTTCACAAATAGTTCATACATCTTTGTTCATTTTATCATAATAATTACTTTTTTATGCATTTCAATATGCATACAAATCTCAAATTGATTGATTTTGATCAATTTTGTAATTATTTTTGAAAAGAAAATATAGAATTCTTTGAATATGTATAATATGAAATATGAACAAATCTTTGTGTATAATATTTTTCACAAAATAATAAGACCTCACATTCTCTTATTATTTCCTTGTCGAGAATTAATTATACATCAGGTAGTTTGATTAGCATATTATTACTTTTACACAATTATAAAATCTTAATTGTGTAAAAGTTATAATATAATACTAGATATTTTCAGCTGGTTGTATACCTGGTTGAAAGAGCTCATTTACGGACAAACATCGTTTACAGAATATATAATACAAAATAGCATTATTTTGAGACATTATATACCTGGAAAGTCCTAAAACTGAGCTGTGAGACGAGAAAAACACCACCTCTTTCGAACCAATTCTTTGTATTAGTAAAAAATCTCAAGCAAATATCTGCACATGTTAACAGATTTAGTACCAGTTTAGGGAAGTCGGATATGACAAATCCTGTGAGACAACTCCACTCGGATTCACTCCGAGAGAGGAGTTGTTCACTCCGGTGTGAGTTACTCATCTCTTATATATATATATATATATATATATATATATATATATATTTATATCCCAATCTATTTTATGAACTGAATTTATCATTGGCCAATTTTTAGTTAGATTTGTCTCTGACTATGAGTCACTAAATAATTAAAAACGACTACAACTAAATTTAATATAACAAATATAGCTCTAAACACGTTTTACATAACTCTTAGTTATCATTAAAATTTTGCATCATTGTAAAATCATCATTTGCAAACATCAAAATTTTTCTAAATTTCAATGTTCGTTTTGTTAGCATAATTTTGATATTGCTATAACCATGTTGATAAAACAACTTCCAATAAACTATATTTCTAAATATAATAAAACTATCGATACATATAACCTATATAATGGGAAGAGTTATGATTGGTTTGCAGGTAAATTACAAGCTATATATAATATAATGTGTATCAAATATCATATAAAACTTGGTCATTAGATAATATATGCATTAGATATATAAAATTTTCATTATAAAATTTTCTAACATAATTAATTTATCTATCGTTACCTAATCTTACGATCTGGAGCAGTTATATTGCTCTTCTGCTCTTTGCTGAATCAGTTCTTCGTAAGGACTGACGCCAGATTTTCGTTGTTCGTCGCGCACTTTTTCGACTTGACCTTAGGAAAAAGAATTGTTTAGAATAAGAGAATATATTATTTATATACGAAACTAGTGGAGCACATGGCATCGAGCCTTAAGGCAAATTGCTGAAATTTTCCTTACCAAAAATTATTATTTTTTTAAAAGATTAACATTTTTGAAAAAAATTTACTGTGACAATTTTTGACAAAAATTAACTTTTTTTTAAAAAAAAAGACTTTTTGAAGAAAAGTGTATTTTGAAATATTTTGAAAATTCTGAACTTTTTTTCAAAGCAATCGTAGTGCTTTAACTGCATAGAGACGATTGCATCGAAGCGCGTAAGCGCCGCGCCGCCGTCTAACGGATAAGCATTGGTACGGAACCCATAAAAATGTAAACAAAATTTATACTCATTGTTAAAATCTCTATAAAATATCTGATAATTTAATGTGCATATGTCTAATGATCATTCATGTTTGACCGCCAGATAGCATTTTTTTTTTACTTTTTTTACTAGATCTCCGAGACCGCTAGACGTGCCTTCATGAAAATTTTATCAGTTTTTTATCTTGTTAATACAAGTAAAATGTTTTTTGAATTATTCAAATCGGACGCTCCGTTCTGTTAAAAACTGAGTTACCGTTTTTGGCACTTTTTGCCCCGTATCTTCGGAATGGCTAGACCTGCCTTTGCCAAAAACTAATCAGCACGTCTCGTTGTCAATACAAATCGAATGTTTTTTGAATTATTCAAATCGCTTCATCCGTGTTCCCGAAATCGTCGACGAAAATTTGTATCCGAACACACATACACACACATACACACACATGCACACACACACACATTCATTTTTTCTAAGGTATGCCAAAATGTTCAGAAACCTTCAAAACGTCGAGAAATGCAAAAAATTTCAATTTCGATTTTTGGACGATTACAATAACTTACTATACGGGAAGTTAACTAGTGGAGCGCATGGCATCGTGGCTTAAGGCAAATTGCTAGAACTTCCCGTACCGTAATAAAAATCTTGGTAAGAAACCAAAAAAAAAAATTACACAAAATATGTACACATCATTGAAATCTCTATAAAATACCTGATAATTTGATGCGCATATGTCCAATAAGCATTTTTGACCGCCAAATAACATTTTTTTAACTTATTTTTATTGAGAATCTATAACCGCTGGACCTGCCCTCCCAAAAATGTAAGCAGTTCTTCATCTTGTCAATATTAAAATCGAACGATCCGTTCTCTTAAAAATCGTGTTACCGTTTGTGGCATTTTTTGTCCCGTATCTTCGGAACGGCTAGACCTACCTTCGCCAAAAACTAATCAGCACGTCTCCTTATCAATACGAATCGAATGTTTTTTGAATTATTCCAATCGGTTAATTGGTGTTCTCAAAATCGTCGACGAAAATTTGTATCCACACACACACAGACACATACATCAATTTTTTCAAAGGTATACCAAAATGTTCAAAAATCTTTGAAACGTAAAGATATATAAAAATTTTCATTTTCGATTGCGATTAATTTAAATTGCCCTACAGGAGGTTAATTACTCGTATAAGTTTGAGGATAAATTCTAACGATATGTTAAACAATGAGTCTCAAATTCACATTTAACCATAGACCTCATACTACGTGAATGATATTTTTCAACAAACCATTGCACATCTAATTGCAAATAATTAACATTTGTTACATGTAACATTGTAATAAGAAATAAATATGCATTTTATCAGTATATTCATAATTTAAAATAATGACTTACTCATAACACGTAGAAAATTTTCTCCAGCAAGTTTTGAAAGTTCGTGATCCGTCCAGCCTGCTCCCAATAATTCGGCAAATAATAATGGATAAGATGATACATCCTGGAGTCCAACAGGAGTACTAAAATTAATAAAAATAAGTTTTTAAAATGCAATTTAAATTGCATATTAATTTGCATTTAATAATTGTTAAAAAAAAGTTACATACTAAATTCTAAATCATTTTTTTAAACATTTCTAGCCGATGACAGTTCAAATGTTTTCAATGTCAAACAATAAGTGTTTTCTTTTATAGTTTTTGCCATTTATTTCTACAATATTACTCTAGTTTTATCGTTCATTAAATCGAAATTTCATTTGATAAACTACAAAAAGAACTATCAAAATCGGAATAACCGTTTAGGAGAAGTATATATATATATATATATATATATATAGGGTGGTCCTTAATCAGAATAAATGCTTCCAAAATAATAAAAAATATTTCTTTGAAAGTTTTAGCTCCTAATATTAAATTCCAGATAATCCGCACTCCAACCGAAGTTTCTTGGTACTTCTTCCTAAGTAAATACTTATTATATAAAATATATCAAATATTTGTTGTAGTTCTTTTCATTTATGATAAAGATAAGCAAATACAATGTTATTCTAAAAATTTTGATTCATTTGTCGTTAATTTATAAAATTCTAAAAAACAAATTGAATTTTAGCTTTGTTATTACCATAAGAAACTTCGGTTTGAGTGCGGACTATCTTAAAGTTAATGTTAAGAGCTGTCAGAGAATTGTTTGTTATAAATTTGGAAGCATTTGACCCCTGAGAGTAAGGAAATTCGAAAATACCCATATTAAGGACCACCCTATTATATTATATTATATATATATATATATATATATATATATATATATATAAAGCGAGAGGTTTTTCTTCAGATGGTGAAATAATATGATAAAAATTGTTTCTTGGGCATCCATCCAATAATTAAAAAAACAGTTTTAATGCAAAATGTTTTAATTAAGAGAACATACGTTTCGGGTCCAGATTTGACCCATCTTCAGTGCATACAAATAAATTTTAAAAAAATATAACACAAAGAACAACACAAAAATGCAACGAAAAAATAAGTATGAAATAAAAAATTGAAAAAGCATCAAGTTATGAAAATTTTTTGAAAATTGTAAAAATTAAAATAAATAATATGTTTTACTGTAAAAAAAGCTTATTACAAAAACACATCTTGTTAGTTTGGAGACAGAGTTACGTGTCAACGTAACTGACACGTAACTCTGTCTCCAAACTAACAAGATGTGTTTTTGTAATAAGCTTTTTTACAGTAAAACATATTATTTATTTTAATTTTTACAATTTTCAAAAAATTTTCATAACTTGATGCTTTTTCAATTTTTTATTTCATACTTATTTTTTCGTTGCATTTTTGTGTTGTTCTTTGTGTTATATTTTTTTAAAATTTATTTGTATGCACTGAAGATGGGTCAAATCTGGACCCGAAACGTATGTTCTCTTAATTAAAACATTTTGCATTAAAACTGTTTTTTTAATTATTGGATGGATGCCCAAGAAACAATTTTTATCATATATATATATATATATATATAAACAAAAAACAATTTTAGCAGCAAACTATTTTACTCACAAGTTAATGCCGTCATAACCTGCTCCCAGCCCGACGTGGTCCACTCCAGCCACTTGTCGTATATGGTTGATGTGAGCTAAAATAGCGACAACTTTAATACATATGTCGTAAAAATACTCAACTTCTAACTGCACCATCAAAATGAAACATTGTGGCACGTATTAAATGATGATACAATATAGAAGCCATTGAAACTGCATGCGATATTTTAATAAGCTCTATAAAAAAGTATTAAAGAAAACTATGGGTTTAAAGACATTCAAGGTGTTGAAAGCTTACCGACGGCATCGTCGACGGTGGATTCATCCTTGCAAGTCAAAAATTTTGAATAGAAGTTGACCATGACAATTCCATTATTGGCCGCAATCTGAAAGCATTTAATTACATTTGCTCAGGATGTTCGATATTTATGAAGATCAATTTTATGAGGTACAAAAAATGTACAATTTTTTTTTTTATTTTTTTTTTTGATATGGGAACTCTTCAGAAACTCTTAGAAACATTTTTTTCAAAATTAAACTCTCGCTAAAATTATATTTCGAAATACGTCGAGGTATGTTTAACATTGTGAGTAAACCTATGAAGTCATTTTTCTAACCGATTTTTCGTATAATTTTGTTGTCTGTATATCATTTGAAATCTTCTGCTTGTGCAGAAGAATATTTTTGATAAATATCAAGTACACCCAACTGAGGCCAATTCCAACTCGACTCAGGGAAGAATAGTGTGTTAGATTTTTCATTGCCATTTCACACCGCAGTGCCCGAAATAGACTATTATTAATTAGAAACATGTTTTTAATCTATATTTTCAAGTGAAAATAGTCATCGCTACTGCACGATTCCAAGTTGTCCAAAACGAGGTTCGAACTAATGAAGCAGTCCATCTCTGGTGTAATGGTTAAGCTTAAGGACTTTATTTAGGAATAAAATAGGATACAATTTTATGTTCACGATTTCGGGCGCACAAATCAACTAATTTGAATGATTAAAAAAAAATTGATTTCCATTGATGGAATTTACTTCTATTGACATAATGAAGAATAAGTTAAATTTTTGGGAAGGCAGGTCCAGCGGTTTTGGCGATACAAAGAAAAAACAAAAAAATAAAGATATTTTTTTTTTTTTTTTTTTTTTTTTTTAATTTTTATTTTCAATAGCAATCAGAATACATAACTATTCTATGAGCTATTTGGCTTATGTCATTCACTCACACACATACACACACACTTGTAAACACACATATAAATTTATCGGATCAATATTACAATCATATTCAGAGAATCACTTCAATAAATGATTCAATTATTCTGTTTATATAAGGTTGTGGTAGTTCTATGGTTCCTCCATATTATCTTCGGGCAGCTTCTTCTTCAGTCTTCTTGAAGTTGATGTCTCAAGAAGCTGAGTGACTATATTGTTTGAATGATGTTGTAGTTTTTGAAAGTGTTTTATACTGTTGATTTGTATTATTTTGTTTATAAAATCAATATGAAGATCGTCGTGTAAAGTTTTGTTACTAATAAACCACGGAGCATCAGTAATCTGCCTCAATATTTTCGATTGGGCACGTTGCATTAACGCTATATTGGATTTGCTTGCACAGCTCCACAATTCAATGCCATAAGTCCATATGGGTTTTATTATTGCCTTGTAAATTAGAAGTTTATTGTCAATCGACAAAATTGACTTGCGTCCTAGTAGCCAGTATAGTTCAGCGGTTCTAATTTTTATAGTCTTTAATTTGGCGCGAATATGGTCCTTCCACGTGAGCCTGCGATCTAAATGCATACCTAAGTATTTGACGCATTCGGTGCTTGGAATTGCTTGGCCATAAAAATGTACTCCTGGGCATGTTGTCTTGTTCAGTGTAAATGTTATATGACTAGACTTGCTCTCATTTATTTTTATTCTCCATTTTTTTGTCCACTCCTCTATAACATTTAGATGCCTTTGTAAAATTAGCGTAGCCTTAGATGCATCAGCATGTGTCGAAAGAATTGCTATGTCGTCAGCAAATGTAGCTGTTGTGGTTGATTGTAAAGTTGGAAAATCACTAGTGAAGAGGATATATAAAAATGGCGCTAAAACACTGCCTTGTGGAACTCCTGCCTCAATCTGATGAGATATTGAGGTTTCAGTGTTGACCCGTACTTTGAATTTCCTATTGGCGAGATAAGATTCTAGAATATTATAATAACCACATGGAAGTAGCGATCTAATCTTCAGTAAAAGTCCCTTGTGCCACACCTTATCGAAAGCCTGGCTCACATCTAGAAAGACTGCAGAACAGAATTGTTTGGCCTCGAAAGTATTGCTGATGACTCTTACGATTCTGTGGCACTGTTGAATTGTGGAGTGTTGACTCCGAAAGCCAAACTGATGTTCTGGAAATATATTCGCGCTAGTTAAGATATGTTGAAGCAGGAGTTTTTCGAGCACTTTTGAAACAATTGGTAGAAGGCTGATTGGTCTATATGAGGTAACCATATAAGGATCTTTTCCGCTTTTATGGATCATTTTTACTACAGATGTTTTGTAGAGAGCTGGCCAATAATTTAATCTAATTATTGAGTTGAATATATACGTTAGAAGGATGAATCCCTTCTTTGGCAGTTCTTTCAACATTTTTGCCGTAACTAAATCGTAACCTGGAGATTTATTATTTTTTAGTTTACTAATTTCTTCAATTATAATCTTTAATGAAAAGAACTTCATACTGTTCATTGAGTTGTGAGAAGGAATCATATTTGAGTTAAGGTCCGCTGCGTTAGAGTAATCTGGGTTCGGTTTGAAAACTGTACTTAAATAATGAGCAAATAAATTAGCTTTTTCTGCATCACTCCTAGCCCAAGATAGGTGATTGCTGTCATCCCATCTAACAGGCGGATTTTGAATACGTGGTTTTAATTTGTTTTTAATTGGTTTCCAGATTGAGTTATCAAATCTATTTAGGTTTGATACGTAATTGTTGAAGTTTTGGTTAGAAATTTCTTTCAATCTGGATTTTAGTTTATTGCTTAAGTTATTGTATATGTTCTTATCTGATGGAAAGTGAGTTGACTGCCACTTACGTCTTGCTTTCCTTTTCTCTGAGATTAAATTTTTAATTTCAAAAGATAGAGGTTGATCCTGTTGAACTATTGTTTCTGGAGTAGCAAGTAAAGCAGCATCATGAAGAGTTTTATTAAATTTGTCAATAGCTGAGTCAACTTCCGATGAGTTCTTAAGACTAATTTTGAGATCAGTATTGTTTTCTATTTTGCAGCGGTATAGTTCCCAGTTTGTTTTTCTCGAATGAAGTCTATAAGGTTTACAAACATTGATAATTGAAGAACAGATAGTAGCAGTATTCAAGCTACGATCTCTCTTCAGATCACTCACCTATAAAGATATTTGACAGTCAAAAATGATCTTTAGACATATGCACATCAAATAATCAGATATTTTATTCATATTTTGAAAATGAGTACTAGTATTGTCACAATTTTTCTGGGTTCGGTACTAAGATTTTTAAGTTTTAAAGTTCACTTATACGGTTCAAACTAATTGCAAAATTTTCAGATTTTTTTTAAAAATTTTCAGAAATACACAGTTTTATACTCCAAATATAAATTTTAAATTTACAATTCAATTTTTAAATGTATATATTTGATATGTGATATTCTAAATATAACCTCAGATAGATTCATTCGGCATCTCTTGTTAATGTAAACATTCTTAAGGGTTTTGTGCGATAAGATCGTCATTGTATATTATGTGAACGATAAAATATATAGCATTTTCAATTATTTATTATTATTAGAAAATAGATAACCGTTTCTACTCGCGAATTGCGAGATTTGTATGTATTTTGCCGCCGGAGCGGCGGCATCCGACTCCAAAGGGTTGCTACAACAATGGTTATTAATCATGGATAAATATTTATTGATTATTGATTTTATTCCCCTCGAAATTTTACGGGAAGAACCAGCAATTTGCCTTAAGACACGATACCATGCACCACTAGTTTTTAAGAAGCATCCATCATTTACAAATCAAATTTTTATTAATTGACTATGATCAACGAAATTTTGCCTGGCTCCTTTTGGCTAAATACAATCAATCTCCGGATGTAAAAAATAAATATCAAACTAGTGGGGAGTATGGCATTGTGCCTTAATGCAAATTGCTGGAACTTAACACGTATCATAATTAAAAACTTTGGTACAAAACCCAAAAAAAAAAAAATTACACAAAATGTGTACACATTATTAAAATCTCTATAAAATATCTGTCCAAATGTCGTACATATGTCCAAATTTTTGACTCCCAAATGACATTCTTTTAACTTATTTTTATTGAGAGTCCATAACCGCTGGACCTGCCTTCCCAAAAATTTAATCAGTTCTTCATTTTGCCAATACAAGTAAAATGTTATTAGAATGATTGAAATCGGACGCTCCGTTCTCTTAAAAACTGAGCTACCGTTTTTGGCACTTTTTGACCCGTATCTTCGGAACGACTAGATCTGCCTTCCCCAAAAACTAATCAGCACGTCTCCTTATCAATACGAATCAAATGTTTTTTGAATTATTCAAATCGGTTGATCTATGTTCCCGAAATCGTCGACGAAAATATCAAAACCTTTGAAACGTAAAGATATACAAATTTTCATTTTTGATTTTTTTGCGATTACTATAACTTACCCTACGGGTAGTTTACTAATACTTCTCACTTCTCTTGGAAGGAACAATTGCATTATCGAAGATCCTATAGCAATTCTCAATTATTCAATAAATTTGAAATGATTTCATTTTATCATGGTCCTCTGGCTCGACCCAAAACGTTTAACGAGAAAATAAGAAAATCGAGATTATAGAAAGCATATATCACTTATTCAGCGTTTACGTGCCACGATTTCGGAAGACTAGTTCTAATGGGAAATGTCGTTCTGGTTTTTGCGCCTTGGTAAAACATAGAACAGCTACTTTGGAAACTGTTACCGTTTGAATTTATTGCATATTGTTTGAGAAATCGATGGTCGAAATTTTACCCAGGAGGACATGGAAATTTAATCGACTTGACACAGATTTAAGTGATACATAACTAAATAAAGAGTTATTTGTAGGAAATTATAGACATGTGGTGTACATTAGGGTTTGTCGGTTTTCAAAAACTGGTTTTAAAAACCGGTTTTTTGGCGAAAATTATGAAATTCGAAAACCGGTTTTTAGTGAAAAAATCCGGTTTTCACTGTACAAATGGAAAATGACAAATATAGCCAAATACAAAAGATAGATGAAAGCGTTTTGATTCTTGAAATCATATCGGTTCAATAGCATTTGTAATCTTATCAATCTGCAATGGTTTTCTGTTATGATTTGACTAATGTATATATTAATTGAGATTTTTATACCAGCGTATTTATTAATTGAAATCAGTTTGACTTCTTGAAGAAGTAACTTCCTCTACTCAAACTTGAGAGTTTTAAACCCTAGAAGCTATAAATTAAAGAACAAAAAACTTAGAATTATTATATCAGGCTTTAAAAACAATTAAGCATAATTTGGTCGAAAGTATGGGTATATTTTCTATTCCAGGAATTTTTTAAAGTAAACAAAGGACACAGTTAAGTAGCAATTCGATAGACGTTCTCAATTTTTTTAAATTAGATTTTATTAGACAAAAAGCAATTAGAATGTTTAAAATTAATGAATTAAAATTGCTCGGAGCAGAAATAAAAGTTTAGCTTAATTGTTTTTAAAACGAAAAAGTTATTTAATCAAGATAAAGTATTATTTTTTAGTTCTACTAATTAAAATAATTTTGTTTACTATCTATAAAATTGAACAATAAATAAATTCAGTCAAATACTATTCCAAATTACACTAAATTTGCGGATAAATTCGAATATTCAAGCAAAAATTTATTTTTTATATAAAATTCGAAAATCGGTTAAAACCGGTTTTTTAGTTAAATTAAAATAGTTTAGTAAAATTATAAAAGTTACATAAACTTCCCGATATGTTTAAATAATCGACTTAATCAATAAAAAATAAATTAATTTATGAGTGATTATAAGTATTCCGAGTGGATTTATTACACATATTTGAAAACGAACGAACACGTTAACTCGGAGTATTTAGTATTTATCGGAGTTATACCAAGTAAATCGTCTAATTTTAATTTTACAAACATTAAAAAAAACTATTCATTTTCTCAAAATTTGATGAATTTTGAAAATTAAACTACTTGTCGTAAGGCCGTTGTATATCAGTAAGTTCTATAAGACCATGATATATATCGCCAAAAATAGTTCCATACAGATCGGTTTAATATTTTTTTCAACAGTTAATTACGAGAGAACGGCTCGGTAAAATTTTACAGAAACTAATCAGTACCATTTCCAACTAGTATCTTTCGAACTGTTTTTGATTTTTTAAAATAGATTCTGTAGTTTAAGCCTAAATGTGGACGGAAAGTTTAACACTTTTTTTTAAAATACAAAGAAACGGCTTGACAGATCATCGCACAAAACTGACAAACGATCGTCCTTATTGAGTAGACATCAAATGGCTTTTAGATTTCTGAAATAGGTTCAGGCGTTTTTGAGCAAACGTCGATGACAGGTCTAATTTTGACAAATGCCAAAAAACGATACTAATACTTGCAAACTTTGAATAATTTTTAAAATTAAACTGTAATATTTTAGTATGATCTATAAGACTATGGCATCTACCGTAAAAAAACATCATAAAAATAAAAAAAAAAAGAACACTTAAACGGCCCCGTGAGACACACACATACTTTTTCCAAATTTGATCTCATTCGATTCAGAATGGCTTGAAACGACGAGATAACATAAAATTAGCGAATCAGATTTTTTTTATAAAAATAAACCTCTGCTTCGGGAAATTAATAATATTTATACTGTATAAATACCTGAGTTTATCAAATTATTCAAAACGTGCATATAAACTATAACTCCACTTACTCAACCCAAATTAACATTGTTTGCTAATGATTGACAACTTTTAATTCTTTCAATATTATGTTTTAATAATCAATTTTATTCCTTTCTTTTACAATAATAATTTTTTATATAATTACTCTGCAAATTTTAAATGGCAATTATGAAATGCGAATTTCTTATAATAAATCTATTGGCAGTTTTTTGTGAGCGCGTATTTGAACAATGTTTAAAATTACTCTTCTTGTAAAAGTGATTAAATTTTGTGATTAAATTAATACTATTAAAAAAGCAGTATGAAGTAAAACAAAACTATTATAAACATCGGTATAGGTATAACATTAATATCATTTCCAATTCGTAACTAAATTTACAGTATATGATTAGTATTTACTCAGTGTATTGTATATGATTTTAAAGACTACTATTAGAGTGATATTGAAAAGCGTGTTTTAATTGATGATTGGTGTATTTTGTAAAATTTTGTTGTTCCAAAGTTATATAATTATGCAAAATGCATGGCAAAATGTTGTTTTTGTATACATAGTATCAAACTAAATGCGATTAATACTTTATAGAATAAACAAATTCTCCAAAACTTCAATTGAGATTTGTTGGTTATAGATTATAGGTATAATAAACGCTTGGATATATGCTTGTTTTCTCATACACAAATCACAAACTTTAAAGATACGAAAAAGCGGAAATTAATTTATTACTTACATTTTTTAACGAATTTAAAAATATTTAAAAAAAATAAAATTACCATTAATTAGAGAATTAGTCGATTGAATTTGTTTTTGATTGCATAGGCACTACGTATTTCATGAAATTAATGGACTATTACTAAATTTGATTACGTTTCCTACCCCTGAATATAAAATAGTGTTATCAATCTAAATGCGTAGAAAAACTCTAAAAATATAGTTACTTTTTTCAGCATTGAATCCTGTACGTTCCTTGAGGAATTGCAAAGTGCGTGAGCGGAAGAATGTGAGAAAATTACAGGGGCCTTAGAGACCCCTATGGCGTCCCTTGCCGTTCTGGAGGACACGTGCGAGAGGTCAACTATCATGCCCAGGCGATTCATTTCACGAACCACGGTCTGAAATAAACAAAAAAAAGTTAAAATATTCGATGAAAGAGATATACGTTAAAATTAAAGACCAGAAAGGTTATTCGATTTAAATTTTGAAGAACCAAATGAAAAAGGTATTTTGGTATAGAAGAGAAAAAAAATAGATTTTGTTTTTTCGCTATATAATATAACTGTTCAAAAATATGTGTACCAGAGATTTTTTTGAAATTCAAATTATTTTCATTTGATATAGCGATAATTCTGCTCTCTTTTTCTGGAACTAGGCTGAGACTTTCTAGTTCTCATTTAACTTTAATAAAAAAAAAGAACTTGTACGTAGCATTTTACTTTAAGGCAAGTTGCATGAACTTACTTGTTTGTATAGAATAATCTACTTAATGAATAAGAATTGAGATTCAGGTGTAGAAAATTTAAATAAAATATTTAACTAAATATGTCGAAAATAGCATTTTCAATAGCTCTTCCTGAAAAATAATTCGATTTTACTTGATATTTTTCAAACATATACTTACAATAAATGTAATTGTATCTATACATAAAATCAATTTGTTTAGCATTTTATTTTATCTATGTAGTGTTCTAAAAATGTATTTATTTAAGTGTATACGTCAACTGTAACCAGTAGGTACCTACAAAACACCAATGAACATACATAAGCTTCAACACAGATTTTGATTAGAATCTGTTCAAGTTAACGACATAATTATAAATATTGATGAATTATTATAATTCAACAGCCTTTTGTAGGTCTATAATATTTTAGTATGTTATTTTAGACTACAAAATCTATCATAAAAAGTTTCATCAAAATCATAATTTTTTTAAAACATTTAATTACGAAAAAACGACCTTGCCGATCTTCTCCAAGAACTGATCAACCTTCTCCAAATCCTAATCAATTTTTTTCACACAGTTTTTGATTTTTTTTAATTGCTTAATAATTGTGGGCTAAAACGTAGACCAAATATTGTACACACTTTTCTGATAATCATAAAGAAACGGATTGGCCAATCGTTTCGCAAATTGACAAACGCTAAGCCTTGTTTAGCTACATCAAATGGCTTTTAAATTTTTGAAATCGGTCCAGCAGTTTTTGAGAAAACATCAGACAAAGTTCAACAATCGGCTCACATACACCTAAATGCAATAAATTTCGTCCAAATGAGGTCACATTCGATTCAGAATGACTTGAAATGTCGGGAAAACAAAATTAACAAATCGGATTTTTTTGCGAAAACAACCTAGTTTAGTTTACTATTATAGATAAACAAGTATAAACATCAATATCATAGATAAACAAGGATGAACCGATTTTTACCTTCCCAAAGAAGTTTGTTCTAACCAGAAAATCCGACTTGTTAATTTTATGTTTTCTCGACGTTTCAAGTCCGAATGAGACCAAATTTCAAAAATGTACGTGTGTGTGTATGTGACCCGATTTTTGACCTTTCTTCGAATGTTTCTGCTAATTTTATGTTTTCTCGGCGTATCTTTGACATTGCATCAACATTTTGTCAAAAACGTCAAGAAGAATTTCTAAAATTTAAAAACTATTCGATGTATTTCGAGCAGACAAAAGTAGATTTTTTTAAACACATTTTACCCAAAATACCTGAACTTGTCGTGTAAAATCTAAATTCGTTCAGAAGAGCAATGTGTGAGAAACAAAGAATGACATATAGAAATGAATATTGTAGAGAGTGTAATTAGAGACAATAAACGAGTAATTAGAGATGAGGTGTATTAATAGAGACGAACTAGGTTAACAAATATTTTTAATAAGGGTACAAACCGAAACTTTTTTTTGATATATAATATGTCATGTTTTTTGAAATAAAACATGGGTGATATGAGATGATTGATTTTATTTTCAGTTTATATAATATATATCAAAACTCAATAATTAGAATTTTGGCTATGCCAATCATGTTATTTTACCATTCCTAATCGAAAGCAAGTGCTGCCCTTTACTAAACTACTAAACTATAATATTTCTTTAAACAAAACACTTTTTTACCAATAATTAGCAGAATATATTAAATATTGAAAATTTAAGTAGGAAAATTATACGGGTTATCTTAGATAATTAATTTTTCTAACCGAAATGACTAGTGCATGGTTTTAAGGATTAAAATTCTTCACCACGTTTGTATGACAGTTTTCTCTACGTATGTTTCTTTGATAAATTTAATTTTGAATTGTACCACACGCAATTAAGCCACGTTTTAGTTTCTAAGCTTTTCATTCCCGGAATCGAGTAACAGGCGACACGTCGTATAAGAAGATTGTTCATAGATACAGACAGTTCACCGTCAATAGTTCGAATAGTTCCTGATCCGGCATTAATCCTTGCAAGCCCGAGTTGTTAGGTTAAACAGACGTTAAATCCTTTAGTCTTAGTTGATGCACGTCCCACGAAATACAAAGCTATATCGGATTAAAGATTTATGTAAAAATACAAACAAACAACGTACGAACGAAGGTGGAGAACAATTATAATTATTAAGTATTAATAATACATAAAAAAACATACAATTTTTTTTATTAAATAATTTTGGTATTGGAGTTATTTTTTCTTGAAATGAAAATTTTCTACGTTTCAAGCAGTTGCGCTAATATTCTTCTTACCAGAACGCTAAAATTGAATGCGGCTTCAAAATCCGCTTCAAAAAACGGTTTCCATATTTGTTCCAGTTCAGTTTGATAAGGATGCGATATGTAAAAACTACAAAGATAGGAATTTCCCAGCAATGCATTTTTAAGATGAATATCTGTACGTTTGTCGCCATTTTTTAGCATCACTGTAATAAATTAATAATGTTCAAAAACAACTACCAATACTGGAAACCAACATATGTGGAAATTTTAGTTCACTACAAATGTATAATAAAAATTATTAACATTAGCCGTAGGCCCATAAGAGTATGACAATAAACTATGCCAGGGGTAAGTAACGTACGGTCCTTGAGCCTTGCATTTCACCAAAATTAAAAAAAAAAAAACAGCAAATTTTTTAATATTTGCGCGTTCCGGCTCGACAACACCACTGGTTTCAACAGTTCCTGAACATTTTGGCATATCTTAGAAAAAATAGATATCTGCGTGTATGCGCGCGTGTGTTTTGTGTGGATACATATACATATATCTTTGTCCACGATTTCGGGCGCACGGATCAACTGATTTGAATGGTTCAAAAGAAAACATGCGCTTCCTATTTGCATGCCTTTCTATTTTTTCTCTATAGATGCCTTTTGCAAATTAAAATTTTATTGTTTACCTATCTACTACCTATACCTTTCACCGCTTGAAAAGTTAATGCATATACATGTATACTATATACATACACGCATGTATATATATATATATATATATATATATATATATAAAGGGTAAAATAAATATAATAAAATAAAAAATGAAAAACTTCCACAGAAAGAAATTTATAAAAAAAACTATAACTTAAAAATCTCACACATTGAATAATTGTTCTTTCTAGTTTTTTTTTCTATGGATGCCTTTTGCAGAATAAAATCTTATATATGTAATTTATATTAAGGTGGTCTTTAATATGGATATTTTGGAATATCTTTGCTCCCAAGGACTCAAATGCTTCCAAATTGATGAGAAAAAATTCTCTAAAAATTTTAGTTCCTAAATAAAGATGGTCCGCACTCCAACCAAAGTTTCTTGGTTCTTCTTTCTAAGCAAATACTTATTTTATAAAATAAGTCAAAATTTTGTTGTAATTTTTTATTTATGATCAGAAGAAGCTAATACAATATTATTCTCTAAAATTTTGATTCACTTGTCATTAACTTATGAAATTTTTAAAAAAAATTCAATTTTACACATGACATTTCTATAAATAACTTTGGTTGGAGTGCGGATTATCTTAGAGTCAATATTAACAAAAACCTTAAGATAATTTATTTTATTAGTCCAGTCATTATAGTAAGTTTACCTCGGAATTCGAGATACCCAGCTGTAAGTCAGTAAATATAAATACTATACTATTTGCATGGTGAACAACTGCAAATAATCCTCAATGTTAAAGATAAAGGCTCAAAAATTTGTTAATCGTAGAAAAATATGCTCAATATTACAATTTTTGACTATTAAACTTTTTTTTACAAAACTAATGCAAAAGATCTTTATTACTCTTCTATTATAATAGCATAATTGATATTAAATATCGAACTTTTCCAACTGACTGGCTAGAATTATTACATTGACCGACATCCAAACCAAACTCAAAGAGATGGGATATTCATCAAAGTGTACGCTTTCATCGTATTTTACCCTTGATAATATTCCAAATGATATCCATCAGAAAGTCCACGTGCCAATATCTCGGAAGGCAGTGGAATCATTTACGATATAAGTTTTTCTTGAGTTTTTGCGAAGTTGAGTTAAGCGCAAGCTGTTTCACCTCTCTGGGTAATAGACAGATGGTATGTAAAGGATTTATTCATAATGAAATTTATGAAAAAAAATAGTTTTTTTTTCTATCTTCAAAATATAGTTAAATTTGTAAACAGATATTCTGAAATACTTTCCCAAAGTTTTTTTTTAAATACAAGGCTGTTTAGACTAGTCACTTTGCAGAACAAATTATAATAATAAATTACAATAATAAATAAATATTTTGAATGCAACGGATGATAATCTGTTGCTTAAGAAGATAGTTTTCAACAGTTGAGGCATATCATGTATTATATATTGAATTTCGGACGGTTGTGACAGACGTAGGAATAGGTTAAAAACAACAGCTATTAACACCAAATGGTTTACAATTACTTCTGTTATCAGAAATATATAAAATAACAACGATCATTTGAAACAAAGCTTATGAAATTACAATACTTAAGAAAACATTTTTTGGACAAAGTTAGCAAGAAATCTTTGTATTTGTGTATTTTTGTTTTTTTTCTGTATTGAACTTTCCTTTGCCTTTCTCATTCGAATTTTGTCTTAGTTAAGTTAGATTTTTGTTTCACCCTAATTTT